TAGATAGATAGATAGATAGATAGATAGATAGATAGACAGACAGACAGACATAGACAGAGAGAAAGATAGACAGACAGACAGATAGATATAGAAAGATGGATAGATAGAGATAAATATAGAAAGAAAGAAAGATAAGATAGATAGAAAGATACAGACAGACAGACAGACAGACAGACAGATAGACAGACAGAAAGCAGGGTAGTGGGATGTACATCCTATTTCGCACCTCACCTGCCCTCCCCCCTCCACCCAGGCCCAAAACACACCAAAGGAGCATCCTTACCCGTTTCATCCGGGGAACTCAGAGAGGCGCTGTCTTGAGACAACGTGGTCCAGCTGGAGTCTTCGTCACTCGGAGCCAGGTTCTGGATCCTGTGCAGCGCACAATCGGTCTTGGCGCCGGTTTTAGGGTGATCCTTTTTAGTCTCCGGACTGGAAGAGACGGTCACCGCCGGCCCATCTTCGGGACTCGCCGCCTCGTTTTGCTTCTGAGGCGAGGTCTCCCCGTTCCCCATGACCAGGGAGGCTTGGCTATTGCATTGTGAAGACAACTTCTCCTCCGCCACTTGGCTCTCCCCGTAATTCTGCTCCACCTCCCTGGCTGAGGTCTCAAGGTCTGCATAGTAGTTTAGGAAGCTCTTCGATCTTCGGTGCTGGGTGGGCAGGATTTCGCCGCCGGAAGAGTCCTGTTGGCTCGGTTCCTTCCCCTCCAACTTCTCAGAAGTTATGTTTAGACCCGTCGTCACGGAGGGAGCAGCGAGGTTTTTGTTGGGATCTTGTTGTCCTTGCTCGGCTGCCTTCCTAAGTTGGTTTTCTCCGTTTTTCACCAGCTTGATGTTGGAGGAATTGCTTCCCAGCAACGGCTGGGCGGCAGGGTCTGATAAACCCATGGCGGTCTGAATGTTGGTCAGGGCGTATTTCTTCCGGCATTTGGGAGGGGTGCCGTTCTTGACCTCCGTGTGCTTGATTTCGGCATTCAGCAGTTCGTTGTGAGAGGAGCGCAGCTGGAGGGTGTTGGGGGGCGTGGCGGGTCCGTTCCGATTCACAACGTCTGAGGTGCCGTTGCTTGCCATAAACCCCGCCAAGGTTTCCACACCGGAATCAACTAGAGGAGAAACACAAAGGCTGGTGAGAAACGCGACGCCCGCCATCGCCCGGTGCAAATCGCCACGGCGCGCCAAAGCTTCAAGATGGCACACCCTCTGCATAGTCCCCCCAGTTGGAACCAAGGTCTTAATAGTGTCAGGCCTGCAGCCATCTTTTCTTTTGGGTCTTTGGCCTGCCACACTTTCTATTATTCTACTATGCCTTTTCTGCTGTGGGAAAGTGGAAGGAGGGATTGTACCGAGTTAGATGCTATGTAGCCATAACAACATTCTTTCTAGAAAGCCAAGGTCATCCTTTGTCTCTGAACCTCTGCACCTGACCGGAACTGGACGGGTGGAACTGCCAGCGTGGCAGTAGAAGATTGGACCATGTGATGGGCTTGTGGGTGTGGGGGAAAGATCTTGAACTTTCAACTGGGTGGGGAAGACTGGGAAGCTTTATGATTCGGGTTTCCCCAGATGTGCCAACATGGCTCTCTTCATAAATTGGAACTTTGAGGAATGCTTTGCCTTGGACTCTGATTTAATTTTGGATGCTGTTTGGAACCCTGACACTCTAAACTGGGTTTGCAGGCATTTTGCAGTGATAACTGAGGCCTAAACCTCTTTGGCAGAAGGAATCCTGCCAGATTTGCCCCGTTTTCAGAGCTACAGGTAGTCCTCGACGTACGACCACGATTGAGCCCAAAATTTCCATTGTTAAGCGAGATAGTTCAGTCAATTTCACCCATTTTACTACCTTCCCTGCCCCAGTGGTTAAGCGAAACCACTGCCTGTGTTATATTGGGAACCTATCTATCTATCTATCTTCTATCAAATCCATCCATCCATCCATCCAATCTCATTCTCATCCATCTATCTATCTATCTATCTATCTATCTATCTATCTATCTATCTATCTATCT